CCATTCCACCCCAGGCCACACCTTCTCAGATAGTTCTGCCAGCGTGCGTGGACAGTGTCACTCATTGAGCATCCTGCCTCTTGTCCCCACTCTGTCCTTGCCCTGCAGGGCCACATAGGGTTCTGAGTGCAGAACTCACGAGGGATGAGTATGGACAGGAGAGGTGCACCAGGCGGTGGTTGGCCCTGGTGCAGCCCCCACTTGGGGAACTGTTCTGTTCCCCCTGTGGGGTGCCCCCTCACCCAAGCACAATGAGCTCACATAGCTCCCAAGCAACCTGCAGGTGGCCCTGCCTTCCTCTGTGGCCTTGGTCATGTCTGTCTTCCAGGTCTGTTTCCTCACCTGTAAAGTGGGACTTGCTTGGTGCTGCTTGGCAGAGTGGGGTGGACCAAGACTGTTCTGACCAGCTCTTGTCCTCACCACCTGCAGGCACCACCTGTGCCGTGGCCGTCACTACTGCCATGACTTGGGTGACCACGTCGAGGCCCTGCATGGCCAGGTGGTGCGGCTGGTGGAGCAGGCTGGCCGCCAGCTCAATTCCACCACCCTCTACCACTTAAATGCCTCCATCTACCTGCTCTGAATCTTGAAGGGCAGCACTGCTAAGGGGTGTGTGCATGAGACGCAGGAGGAGTTGGAGGCTGGCACCGACCCCAGCCCCATGTCCGAGGGCTCGCAGGTGAGCAGGGCCTGGCCCAGGCGGAGCCCACATACTTTACACTTCCCCAGGACTCACCCTCCACTGTCCGAAGCTAGCCCAGTCTCTGCTCCCATCCCAGAGGCCCTCTCCTGGCCTCAGCCAGCTCTCTCACCTGACCTAGGCTGCTGGCTGCCTGGACTTGAACCTCACAATGCATGTCTACTCATCAGCACTGAGCTCCTTCCTGACCAAGTGCCACAGCCCCCTCACGGTCCCCATGTTCTTCAGCCTCTTCTCCTGGCACCCAGTGAGTGTCAGGGCCCACCCTGCCCCCACTTGGGGTCTCCTCTCAGCCCCAGCCCCACCCATGCCTCACAACCCTCCCTTCCCTGCCAGGTGCTCTGTAAGAGCCTGCTCCCCATCCTGGTCTAGCACGTCACAAGCCCAGGGTGGCCCCGCCAGCAGGTAAGACTTCCCCAGCCTAGGGCCTGTGTGAATTAACCTGCTTAACCCACTTCTGAGGCCCCAGAGTGCTGCCCTGGTGAACATGGGCGCAGCCGTCCCTGCCACACCGTGAGCATGGAGGCACTAAGAGGGTGGGGCTGGCCTCACTCCCGCAGCCACCACTGCCCATCTGGCCACACAGAGGACATTCAAGTAGTGTCTGCTCAGGTGCCAGAACTGCTGGGGGCAGACTGACTGAATGAAGATGGCATTAGCCAGGAATGGATAGGAATTGTCCTGCCTGAGGTCCCACCTCTATCCAGCTGGGAGGCCTCGGTGCCCCACCTGTACATGAAGGCACAAGAGCAGGTGGTCATGGAGTCCAGAGCAGAGCAGCAGGTGGCCTTGCATGCCACCCACAGCCCTACCTGGCAGGCCCCTCACCCCCCTCAGCCTCTCCTACCCAATGTGCTAAGGCTCCAGGCACCCACCTTCACACAACCACAGGCACAAGCCTGCCTGCTGCTCCAGAAGACCCTGTCCATGCGGGAGGTGAGGTCGTGCTTCCAGGACTCGGAGCAGAAGCAGCTGATCAGCCAGGTCCTGACAAAGGTCATGGAGGTAATAGCCGGGAGGCACCCTTCCTCCTGGCCTGCTCAGGATCGGTTCTCTGGGAGAGGACAAGCCAGGATTGGAGCCTGAGCCTCCCAGAGTGTGGGGGGCGGGGAGACAGGGAATTGGGGTTGTCCCAGGAGATGGTCCCTGCCTCTGGGCTTTAGTCCCTGCTGGGAAACAAAGGCTTTGACAGCCCTCCAGAGTACCTCAGCCTGGCCACCCCTCCCCAGAACCTGTGCAGACCAAGGCAGAGCACCAGCAGGTGCTGTCCCCCCTGGAGCTGCTCAGTACTGTCTTCAGGACCTGTAAACATGAGGTGAGGTGGGGCCCAGCCCAGGGCAATGTCGGGTTCCTCCTGGGGGCCTCAGGGCCTCCTGGCATCAGTGCCATTACCCGGGCCAGACCTTGGGGGCAGGGGTCATGTGGGGAAGGTTCTCAGTGCCTTGGTTGGGGCTCTGGGCTGTCATTTGGGCAGTTACAGAGCTGTGGATGGGCAAGTGACTAGGGAAGGGACTGTGCCACCCTGCCCTGCAGGACAGGGTGCAAGGGTGTGGCACTGCCATGTCTAGTGAGAAAGCTGAGAAGGGGTTGGCAGGGCTGGAGACGGTGAAAGATGGGAGAAGACTCAGGGCAGACATATGTTAGGGAGGCCATGTTTCCAGGCCTTGTGCAGGGTGTGGACGGTTGGAATGTGACATGTTGGGCAGCCACACGGCAGGGCTGGGAGGCAGCTGTAGGTGGTCATCTCGGTCCCCTAGTCTGGCCCAGAGGGCAGGTTTGGGAGGCCTCAGCATAGGTGCCAGTCAGCCCTTATGGAGGGAGAGCTTGCCAAGGCTGCACCAGCAGGCAGAGGTGGGGCCCGGGATGGGGCCTTGCAAAACTGGGTGATAGCGAGGAAGCCAGGAGAGCGGGGTTCCTGGAAGCCAGCGGATTCCAACAGTAACCCATTCAGTAGGTGCAGGGAAGCTGGGGGGAAGGGCTTTTGTAGCCCCATGGTGATGGAGTGGTGGGGATGGCCCTCCTGGAGGTGGGTGCACCAGGGCCACAGTGGAGACTTTGAGACCAGGCCTGCAGCTGTGGGGAGGAGGAGAACCAACACCTGGGCACATGTTTCCTCCAATGGTGAGACAGACACGGATGCCTTAACAGGCAGGAGAGGCTGAGGCCCAGGAGACTTCAGGGTTTGCTGGCGAGACAGCAATGGGGCCAAGGTGGGAAGACCACCAGGAGCCCCAGAGAGGCCTGCCCCTGTGGCCACCACCGCCCTGCCTTCACCAGAAGCTGACCTTGGACCTGACAGTGCTCTTGGGCATGCTGCAGGGGCAGCAGCAGGGCCTGCGGCAGGGGGTGCACTCCACCGGCTCCAGTTGCCTACTTGACCTCTACTGGCAGGCCATGAAAACCCTGGGAGTCCAGTAGGTTCTGGGCAGGGGATGCACACTTGGGCAGGGCTAGGATCACCCTCACACTGCTGCGCACACTCAGATATGGGAGCCCTGGGCCTCTGGAACCCCACGGGACCCGGGTGGAGGTGGCTGCTGCCCTCACTGGGCACCTTTTTACCTGCTTATTCCCCTTCAGGCACCCCAAGTTGGAGAACGATACCAAGGAGATCCCCAGTGCCACCCAGAGCCCCGTCAGCAGGAAGCAGAAAAAGGGATTCTTGCCAGAGACAATCACAAGAAACATGTCAGAGGATGGCACACTTGCAGCCACTGGTGGGAGCCAGCTGGCACATGCAGCAAGAGGAACAGGATGAAGGGCAAGGTCTAGACGACCAGGTGAACGGGATGCCTACCACCAAGGGCCCAGCCCCTGGTGCTCCCACCCTGAGCCCCAACACTGCTGCCAAGTCCACAAAACTGCAGAAGAAAAACCGGAAGCTGTCCAAGGTGAATGGAGCTCCCAACTCCCCGATGAAGCCTGCAGGCCAAAAGCAGCACCACGAGGCCATTCTCAAAAAGGGGGTCTTGGACAAATCACCACCATCCACACTGGCACAGAAAAAGGCAAGGCCACCTTTGGTCATCAGGAGCCCCAGCCTGCTCCAGAGTGGGACCAAGAAGAAAACGCAGCTGAGGAAGGTGGGGAAGCCGAGTGCAGGCCACCCTCAGCCTCCATCTGCCCAATAATCCTGTTTTTCCACCATGATTTGAATATGCAAGCTATTTCTAAGGCTCTGTCCCCAGGGAGGGTGTCACTGCCTCCCCAGGCATCCTGCTCTGGTAAGCACAGCCCAAGCCGTTCCTGCAGGGGTCCCAGGATGCAGAGACACCCCCCCCCCCCCGGTTCTAGGCTGGACTGTGGCTTCAGGGCCCTGTGGGCCAGGTCCAGGGCTCTGGGGTTCACCTGGGTGGGTACAGGGTGACATGCTGGCTGCAGGCTGGGTACAGGTGTGACCATCTCTTGCACCCACCCCCCCAGGCTTTTTTGCTGAGGGAGCCACAGGGGGTGATTAAATAGGTTTATTTCTTCATTTACAAGAGGAATATATTTGGCTTCTCTCCTAAGACTCTGAGATTCACAATCAGCAGCTCTAAAAAATAAAGGAGCAGTTTGGCTTCTGGAAGGAAGAGGCAACAGTTGGACTTTATTCTTGTATGACAAGGAAACATCACTGGGTCCCTGGCTGAGGCTGGGGTGGAGGCTGGGCTTTGTGGGGTACCAGCCCACCCTTGTCAGGCCTCCCCGGGTACCCCAGAGCTTGGTGGGTGGGTATTCCACTAGCTTACACCCACTGAAGCCACAGCCAGCCAGTAACTAGGGGGTGAAAAGAGCATTGTCCAAGCCAGCTCTTGGAGTCTCCTAACTGGCCCCTTGGGCCCCAGACACCAGCACCGCCTTGATGGCAGCAAATGTGCAGGGAGTGTGTGACACAGGGACTAAAGTCCCCCAAAGGGGTTTGGGGCTGGTGTGACATTGGCAGCTGCATCCTGATATGTGCACAGGTGTGAGTTGGGTGATCAAAGCCAGGGTGAAGGCCTGGCCCTGGGGGCCATTTGTGTGATAGGGACTGGCATCTCCCAGTGCCTCAGCCCATGCAGGAAACTTTGGGGAGAGCAGCTTCCTCCAGCAGCAGAGCCCTGGCAGCTGCCCCATGAATTCTCGGAATGGTCTCCTGGGCCCTGGCCCTGGCCAAGGCTCAGCCCAGCCTCTAGAGGGAGTGGGTTCCTGGCTTGGGGTGGTGGCAGCGAAGGGCTAGACAGCAGAAATATTCCTGGGGCCACCAGGAGCCCTGCAGAAGTTGGCTGGTGTGTGAAACCCTGAGACCACAGGGCCAGGTGCTATGCCGCTGCAGCCATGGCCTTCACCCCTCATGATGCCAGCTTGTCAGAACAATCCCCACCTGGGAGCTCCAGGCCAGCAGCCAACCTGAGACCGTGAGACAGTGGCCTCCAGAGAGACTGGCCCAGCTTCATCTGCCAGGTTGAGTCTGATGTCCCCAAGGTCAGAGGCCAGCTGAGAAGCAGCAGTCCTGCATGCCGGCCCTCACCTGAGCCTCAAACCTGGGACTGCTGCCCCGAGACCTAGACCATTCCCTTTCCATATGGCCCAGGGCCTGGCGAGTCTTCAAAGGTGTGGATCGTGCTTTGCCCAGCAAGTTGCCTTCATTCCAGGGAGGGAAGGGACTGGCCCAGGATCACATAGGCTAGTGGCAAGCCAGGCTCTTGGTGGCACCCACTTCAGGCTGTTTTCTTCCTTGGCCCCAGGGGCCCGGCAGCCCAAACTTAGGGCCAGGAATCTGTCCAACCTCACAGCTCCAACACACACCTTTCCAGGGTGACTGAGGACACTGCCTCTTCCTGAAGCCAGGGCCACTCAGCAGGCCCCAGCCAGAGTGGGTGGGCACCTTGCCGTGGATCACACAGAAAGCCCGTGGGCAGCCCAGGTGGTCCCGGATGCTGTAGGACACCTTCCAGACTAGGTGGGAGTGTGGGTTCTTCATTGTCTCAGTGGCACCTGGGGAAAGGGGCATCAGGTCAGAAACAGGGCTCAGTGGGGCCCCCTGCCAGGCTGCCATCCCTCCTCCCCTTGCCATTGGAGCAGCAGGCCTCCCCCTGGGCTTGGGGCTGTGACCCTGGTTCTTGTGCTGCTGGGAAGCTCTAGCTCCCACAGGGAAGGTCTGAGGAGCCAGGCCCTGGTACATCCATGAGGAACTGGAGGGTGGAAGTCCAGATAGAGTGGGGAGTTCCAGCCAGGCCCCACCCAGCCCTTGGAAGGAAGGAAGGAAGGAGGAGCCCTGACCCGTGGCTCCATCAGTGAACAGAGTCCAAGCCCAGAATTGGTGGGAGGTGCTGGGGCAGGAGGGGACTCCAGAGGAAGAGTGCTCCCTGTCACCTAGCCCTGGCCTTCCCCCTCCCCACGGGCCTCCCTGCCTGCACTCACCACCACAGACTTCCACAGATGCAGGCAGCATCACCCGCTGGTTCACCCTGGGGGAGAGAAAGGCGGGGGTCAGGATGGCGTGTCAGCAGGAGCCGGGCCCAGGCACTGTTCTGGCACAACGCATCATGGGGCCAGCTGACCGGAGGTGTGGGCAGGGACCTCGTGAGCCCCAGGGGGAGGTGGGAGAGCCCAGGGGTGGGAAGAGGAGTAAAGAGGAAAGGAGAAAGAAGTAAGAAGGTGAGAGGAAAAGGAAGGGGGAGGGGTCCCAGCTTTGGAAACCACCAAGTCCAAGCCTGGATCTACCAGACACCCCTGTGGCCCACCACAGCTCCAGGTTGATGCTGGCACTGAGCCCCACAGGTGTGGGGAGGCCCAGGGACTGGACCTCAGCAACCAGGTCACCCCCTGGGTGCACCCAGGTCTCTTTTCCGCCACCCCCCTCGGAGGGCTCCCCAGCAGGCCTCCCCTCATCCCCACTTACTGCTGCTCAGCCTTGGCATAGTTGCTGAGAAAGAGGAGCACCATGGCGAGGAAGATCATGACCGCCAGGATGACAACAAAGGGGCAGAGCATGACCGCATAGCCCAGGCTCAGGAACTCCCAGAGCAGGGAGTTCTTGGTACTCTGGCAGATCAGGTCTGAGATCTGTGAGGATGTGGGGGTGGGTGTCAGGGCATAGCCCCCGAAGCCCTCAGCCTCCCTAGGCCAGCCCCCACCCAAAGTGACTCACAAAGCTGATGAGGTAGGGGCTGCTGGTGTCCCCCAGCAGGTGGGAGGTGAAGCTCTGCAAGGCCACAGACGTGGCGTGCCAGGTGGGGATGACCACATACTGTGGGAGGTGGGCAGGTCATCGGCCCAAGGAGCCGGCCCCAGTCCAGCACCCCTGGCACCTCCGAAGCCCCACACCCTCAGACTCAGTCTTCTCTCCTCTGGACCCTGTCCTCCTTCCCACCAGTCTGGCCGCTTTTTCCTGCCAGGCACCCCTCTCCTCCCTGATCCCCTCCACCCACACACAGCTTCAGTCACCCCCTGAATACCAGGGGCTTTCCCACATCCAGCCCAAACCAGTGCCACCTGCCCCAGATCGAAAGCGTCATTGGCCTCAAACCTGCTGTGCCCCCCGGGACGCCCCTCAGAAATGGGAATCTTCACCTCCCTCCCAGCTACTTGCAGCCAAGGGAAGGTAATTTGGGGGCTGCCCAGCTGCCAGTCACTAGAGGCCATTAGCCCAGAGCCCTCTGAGCCTCACAGGACCTGAACTGTCGGGAATGGCCACGCCACCACCTCTCCTGCTCAGCTCTCACTGTTCCTGAGACCAGGCTGCCATGGCTTCTGCCCTTGACCCATAGTCACGGGGACACTGAGGCCCAGAGAGGCACATGTTCCGGGGAACCTGAACCCCAGCTGGGGCCATTTGTCCTCACTCCCATCAAGCTAATGACCCATCTTGGTTCCCCTCCCTGAGGACCAAGTAAGGCCTGATGCCTGGGATGGGAGCTGGTGAGGCAGGCTCCTGCCTGGAAGAGGCTCTGCTCACACCTGTGGGCACCTCAGCACTGAATGCCAGGTACTGCTGGGCCCCAGACCCCTGATCAGACCAAGCAGGCCCAAGCAACAGGAGGTGCACTTCAAAGCTGGACAGGCTAGAGTCAGGAGGGGCTGAGGCGGGGGTGGGATGGGCACAGTCAGCTCTGTGGGTGCCCTGAGCTCCAGCTGCCTCACCTCTTCGGAGTGCCAACCTTAGTGGGCATCAGCAGCCAGCACCCATGGGCACCCCATTGCAGGAGAGGTGGGGGTGGGTGGGAAAAGGCCTGAATCTGGTTAAACAGAGTGGCCTCATTTTCAGCAGGAGTAAACTGACACTGATTAAACTGGGACACAATTTTCCCTGGGACCCTGACCCTGCTGGCAGCTGTCACTGGCTCTCCTGGGGGTGGGGGAGGAAGGGTCCTGGCCAGCACCAAGGGCACTTGATCTGCCCAGTCTCGCTCCTCACTTCATGCTGGGCCTAGGCAGCAACCCCTGCCCACCCCTGCCACTGCCTGGCTCCGTGCTGAGGCTCAAAGCTGCATCAGACCTCCCCACCACCTCCCCAGCCCATTGACTCAGGAGGACAGAGAGAGACAGCCCAGGAGGCTCGGGTGCGCAAGGCAGGCTTCCCAAAGCACAGGAGCCAGCAGGGGCTGTGGAGCCTGGCAGACTCATCTCCTGGGCTGTCCCATGCTGGGCACCCGACCCTGAGCACCCTGAAGGTCCACCCATGAGTCCTCCCTCTGTCTGCCCCAGAGCCTGCCCTGACACCTCCCAGACACACTCCCCTGTCCCCTGATGACCCTGGCCAGGCTGATCCCTGGGCATGGGACCAAGTGTCACACCCCTGCCACCCCCCCAGATAACCATGAATTCCTAGCCCCCTCCTGGCTCCTCCCAGGGTGCTCCCATCCCCACCCAGGGACACAAGCCCCTGCTGGCTGCTCAGATGGCCCTTTGTCCCCAGCAGGCTGGGCTGGAGCCCATTGTTGGCCCTTTGAAGAAGGCCTCTGTCTGCCAGCCCCAGCCTCAAGCACTTGGGCAGGTGTGCCTGGCAGCCAGGCTGAGTAAGGAGGGGCAGAGCCCATGAACTCTCAGACCTAGGGGGAGGAGTGCTGGCAGGTAGCAGTACCTCGGTGCCAGCCTGGCACTGCCAGCCTCCCAGACACTAACCTGAGCCTTGAGACACCGCTCCCCACCCGGTCCCCACATCTCACTCTGCCCGCCCAGCCCTCTGCTTCCTGGCTCTGTCCAGACGCAGACCCCAAACTCTGATCCCCTCCCTGCCTCTGGCTTCACCTTCCTGGCAGGCCTGCCTTCCTGCCCACTCCCAACCAGCTCTCCCGCCCCTTCACCCACCCTTCCCAGCTGCCCCTGTGAGGTCCAGGCCTGGGTCAGCTGCATAAGGTGATCTCTGCCTGCCTGGCTCACCATGAGGATGTCAGCGGTGATGGCCCAATTGGAAAATAGCACTGTCTCTCCGATGAAGATATGGATCTGCCCAGGAGAAAGCAAAGCAATCATAAGGGGACCCTCCCTCTGCAGCGGCCCCAGGTGGGGAGCCCACAAAACCTCACCCCTCCTCCCAGGCCCACATCCATTCATGGGCTATCCAGAGACTTCAAGCCATGCCCACAGTCCTGAGGCACCCAGAGGCCCCAACGGGCCAGAGATATGCAGGGGCAGCCAGAGAATAGGAGCCTCCCTAGGGAAGGGACTGTCCCACAAGTCACAGAATTTCCCATTCCTGACCCTCCCCGTGGCCCAGACCCAGCTCCCCCAGCACCCCTCCCCCCACCACACTCACATAGGCCCCCACGATGCTACTCTTGGCAGCCATGAAGATCAGGCAGATGAAGATGTGATGTCAGAGCCCAGCAATGCCCACGGCACACACCAGGGGGTTGGCCTGCTGGGTCCTCAGGCAGCACCAGCGCGTGGCTCCCGTACCCGTGACCATGCCCAGGAAGCCCGTATTGCAGGTGATGGCCCCGAAGATGAGGCTGTGGGGATAGAGGATGGGGGCATGAGTTGAGGGGGGTCAGTGCTCAGGCTGAGGGGGCCCTCCTGTCTGAGGGGGCCCCACCTGTTCTTGGCCCTGCAGGGTGGGCTGCTACACAACTCCACCATCTTCTGCATGACTTGTGCATGGTGCAGATAGAGTGGGATCCTCATACCCAGGGCCCCTGTGGCGAAGGAGACAGCCAACGTGGCCAGGGAGGAGAAGACATAGCTGCGGCTGGGGATAGGCCAGGCAGTGGCACTGAGCTGAGGGACCTCCTCCAGCTCCCATGGGCAGTGCTGTGCATTGGGGGGACAGAAGGCCCCAAATGCTTCATCTTACAGGCCCCAGGGGTGAGGGTTCAGGATGCAGGAATAATAGATTCTTGGGGCCAAATGTCTCTCCCAGCACTGAGAAAGCAGAACTGGTGGGTTTCCAGCTGAGGGTGCGGTGGGCTGCCTTGCAGGGAGAGCCCCTCACCTCAGCACTCCTCCCCCTGCCTGCCAGGCCCTTCCCAGCCAGACTCACTTTCGGATCGGGGCCTTCATATCTCGGAGCCATGAGGTCCAGGCCTTGAGCTGGTCCCCAAGCTAGTTGGCATGGCCTCTCTTAGTGGCTGGGACAAGGATGAGGATGAGCATTCCTGTGATCACACCCAGGACAGGGGACACCTGTCAGGGAGCAGGAAGTTAGGACACCAGGGCCTGGCCAGCCTTGTCTCTGCTGCAGAAAGGGGACTCAGGCAAACTACACCTTCTCCAGGCCACAAGCTTCTCCTCTGCAATAGGGGCTTCCACATGGCCTTTGTATAGCATTCACAGCCACAGACCTAATTATATTTTATATTCTATTTGAAGCTACATTAATCCCCACTCTAATCATCACTACCTGCTGAGGGTATCAGCCAGAACGCCTTAGTGCAAGCTCGTATTTCTTATTTCATATACTAGGGGATCCCTCTCCTTACTTATTACATTCCTTTATACCCAAAACATCTCATCACTAAATATACTAAACAATAACAAATATAACCCAAGAATTATTATCTTCTTGAACTAATAACACCACATTGTTGTCATATATGATGGCTTCCATAGTCAAAATATGTCTATACAGACTTCACCCATGACTTCCCAAAGGCCATGTAGAAGCCCCTATTGCTGGCTCAGTAGTACTTGTGGCAGTATTAATAAAATTAGGGGGCTATAGCAAAATACAAATCACCCTGACCCCTCTTTATCCCTGCATTGCTCCTGGACCTTCCCTGGCTACAGTACGGAGCTGACCCTGCTCTGTTTAAGCCATAGACCTGACCTGACCCTGATCTGGCCCTGCCATACCGTGGTTTGAACCTGGCGATGTCCAGGCTCTGTCCTTCCCAGGACCTGCCTTTGCCTTGTGCTATCCTAGTCCTGCCTCAGCCATGGCCTTTTCCCTGGCCCTGCCCACCCGTTGCCTTCACCCTTCCGTGGCCCTTCCCTTTTCTTGGTCATTCTCTGCCCTTGCCCTTGTCATGGCCCTTTTCTGGCCCTGACTTGTTGTGGGACCTCTCCTGTCCATTTCCCAACCCTGGCATTCCCTGTCCCTGCCCTGCCATCCCTGGGCACTGTGTTTGTTTTATACTGATTTTGCCTTCCCTTGGCTCTGCACTACTCTAGCTCTGCCTTGACCTGGCCCCCAGTTCATCTTGACCTTATCCTGTGCCAAGCCCTGGTACTGCCATGTTCCTGCCTTGGCCTTGATTCTGCACTGCTTTTGGCCCTAATCTTGGTCCTATCATGTCCCTGGCTGTGACCCTGTCCCTGGTTTTTCCCTGACCATGACCCACCCAGGTCCTGCCCTAGCACAGCCAACTGGGCACCCCTGTGCCCTGCCCTACAATTCCCATGCCAGGGTGCTGCAAGCCTAATACTGCTTGGGCCCTGACTTGCCCATGGTCCTCACCCTGCCATAGCCCTGACTCTGACTTGGCCTGGTCCTGCCCTTTCATTCATTCATGCCTGTCATTCTTACGTTGCTTCTGGCCCTACCCTGACCACTACCTGCCCTAGCCTTTCCTTGTCTCTGCTATGCTGGCCCTGCCATTTCCTGGATCTGCCTTGGCCCTGCCCTTCTCTGACCCTACCTTGGTCCTGTGCTATCCTAGTCTTGCCTCAATGCTGACATTGCCCTTAGCCTATCCTAGCCTGACATGGGCCTCCGTACACTGGCCATATCCAGTCCTGGTCTTACACTACCCTGGCTGTAATTCTGACCTGGCCCTGCCCTTGTCTTAGCCCCTCCGTGACACTGCCTTGTTGTGGGCCATGCTGTCCATGTACCAGCCCTGGGCATCTCGGTCGCTTCCCTGCCATACCCTGACACTGTCCTCACCCTACACTGTCTGCCTTGCTTTGCTTCTGTGCTACCTTAGCCCTGGCTTGCCTAGGCTCTGAGCTTGTCTAACCTTACCTTTTCTCAAGGCCTGACCCTGCCATGTCCCCGGCATTGCTCTGGTTTTTCCCTGTGTCTGGACCTTTCCTGACCCTGTTCTTGGTCCTGTCATGTCCCTAGCTGTGACGCTGCCCTTGTTTATTCCCTAGCCATGACCTAGCCCCAGTTTGCCCTCATCCAGTCCTGACTAGGCATTGCTCTACCCACTTCCCTGGCCCTACCCTAGCCTTGTCTTGGCCATGTGCTACCCTGTACCTTCCCTGTACTTGTGCTTGCCATGGTTTGATTCTGGCCCTGCTGCTCCTGCTGACTCTGGTCCTGTCATGGCACCTGGCCTGCCAGCGGTCACTCTCCTGGTCCTGTTCTGGCCCTAACCTGGACGTGGACATGTCCTGAGCCTGATTTGTCCCAGCCATTCCTGTGTCTCTGCCCTAGTCTATCAGGTCCCTGCATATACTGCCCTTTCCTGGAACTTCCATGGCCCAGCTATGGCATTACGTTGTCTTACACTGCACTGGTTATGCCTCTGCCCTGCCCAGACACATAATGACTCCCTGCACGTGCACTGACCCTGCCTAGGCTTTGCCCTCTCCCATCTATGACCTGTCTCTGGTCCTGCCCTTCCATGGTTCTGCCCTTATTTAGCTGGGGGCCTGACCCTGCCATACCTCTGGCCCCTGTCCTTTACCCAGGTCTTGACTCTGCCTTCCCTTTCCCCAACCCTGCCTGGATCTTCCCTTTCTCTTCTGTGCCTTTGCACACCCTGGCCTTTCCCTAAACTTGCACTGATCCTGCACTGGCCCTCTCTGACTTGGCATAGCCCTAGTCCTGTCCTGGTCTGACCCTGACCCTATACTGGCTACACAATACCCTGGCCCTATGCTTTCCCTGGTCCTGTTCATACTGTTGCCCTTGCTTGGCTCTGCCCTACTTTTGGCCATGCCCTAAGCTATCCTAGCTCTGCCCTGGCCCTATCTTAGCCTTGGCCTATGCTGTCCCTGCCTTTGCTTTGTCCTGGTCCTCATTCTGCCCTAGCCCTGCCTCTGCTCTGGACTTTCCCTGGTCCTGCCTTCTATGTGGCCCTACCCTTGCTCCAGCCCTTGTCCTGGTCCTGGCCCTGTGTTGTCTTAGTCCTACCCTGGCCCTGATTTCACTGTGGTCCTTGTCTCACCCCTTTGCCCAGCCCTGATTTGGCCCTTACTTGGTCCCTAAACCAGACATGGTCCCAGCCCTGACCACTGCTGCTGATCCTGGTCCTGTCATGGTCGTGGTCCTGCTCTTTCTTTGCCTTGGTCCTGAAATTGCCCTTTTCTGGTGCTGGTCCCAAGCCTGGCCCTTCCCTGGAGCTTCTGTGGGCATGGTCGGGAACCTCTCCCTTCATTGTACCAGCCCTACCTTTGTTCTGTGCTATCCTGGCTCTACCTTTTCACAGCACTGATCTGGTCCTGCCATAGCCTAGCCCTTCCACTGCCCTGCCTAACCCTACCCTAGTTGTGTCTTGGCCCTGAAAATCCTTGTTCCTTCCTTGGTCTTGTCTTTGATGTAACCCTGACTCAGCCCTATCACTAGGATTCGCTATCACTCAATCCTGGAATTACCTGGCCCTGCCTTGGCACTTGCTCTGCCCTTCCTATGGTCTGGCTCTGCTCCTGTGCTGGCCCTTGTCCTGGCCCTGGCCCTATGCTTGTCCAGGCACTGACCCACCACAACCCTGCTCTTCTGTGCTCTGGCCTTGCACTGGTCCTGTTCTAGTCTGGCTCTGCCATGGCCCTGGCCCTGCCTTCTCATCAAAGTTGCCCTGGTCTGACACCTTGTCTCCTCTGTCCATGACGTGGTCCTGTCCCTGCCACACTATGCCCAGTTCTCTCCCTAACCCTGTGTCTAGTCCTGCCCCTACTATGGCTCTCACCTGCTTTTAGGTAGGCATGCCCTGTGCTACCTTAGTCCTGCTCTTCCCTAGCCCCACACTGCCTGTATCCTGCACTGTACCTGCTTTTGTCTTGTCCTGGGTCTTCCCTGGCCCTGTCCTTACCCTGGAACCTCCCTGGCCCTGCCCTTTGTCTGGTTCTATCCCTGACCCAGCCTTAGCCTGGCCCTATAGTGGCTATGGTAATGCCCTGGCCCCCACCGGCTGTGCCTTGGCACTGGACCCACCCTATTCTTGCTTGGCCCTGCACCCTCTTGGCCCAGCATTATCCCTGGACATGCCCTGGCAATGGCATGGTGCTGACCATGCTCTGTCCATTCCATATACTTGACCTTGCTCTGCCCTTGTTCTGCCCTTACCCTGGAGGCTCCCTGTCCCTCAACTTGGACTGGCCCTGTCCTTGACCCAGCCATGTCTTTTCACAGAACCCCCCCATGCCTGCCTTTTCCCTGGTCTATCTTGGTCCTGCCATGTCCCTGAACCCTCTGTGGCCATGTCACTGGCCCTGACCTGGCCAAGCCATGGACCTGACACTGCTCTGGTCCTGCCATGTCCTGGTTCTTCTCTAGTGATGTCCTGGCTTTGCCCTTCACTCGCCCTGCCTTGACCCTGTGCTATCCTAGTCCTTCCTCAGCCTTGACCTTGGCCCAGCCCTACTCAGGTCTTCTGAGGCCCTACCTTCCCTGGTCCTGCCCTGATCCTGCCTCTGGTTCTGACCAGGGCCTGTCTTTGCCTTGGTTCCTCTGAGGCCCTGTCTTTTCCTTGGTCCTTCTCTATTCTTGCCCTTGTCCTGGCCCATTTCTGCCCCTGCCTTGAGGTGGGCCTGGCCCATTCCTTATCCTGGACCTGGTCTTCCCTGTCCCTGACGTGCCATCCTCTGGCTGTGTCCTTGCTCTACACTGGCCCTATCCTGCCTTGGCTCTGCACTACCCTATTCCTTCCCTGATCTGTACTGGTCCTGACATTTCCCTGACACTGGCCCTGCCCTAGCACAGTCCTGACTGGGCACTGCCACTTTCCTTGCCCTGCCCTGCCAATATGAGGATCCTGACCTGGTCCTGGTCCTATACAAACTTGGCAATGGTCTTCATTCTACCACTCATTCAGCCATAATGCTGACAAGGACTTGGTCCTTGTCTGGCCCTTCCTCTCACCTTGCCCTGATTCCATCCCTGGCAATGCTTTCATCCCTACCCAGCCCTGGCTCTACCTGACCTGGTCTTTCCTTGGCCCACTGCTGCAATGGCTCTGCCATGTCCTAGCCCTGATTCTTCCTGGGAGCAGCTCTGAAGGTGGCTTCAGCATTCAGCC